GTAACTGAACCCAGTTGCAATAGGTAAGGCTACCTAAGACTACGTAACATTTCTGTAGTTTCAGAAGTAGAAAATACATTCCTGGCACTGTGCTTTTTTTGTCACTTAGCAAAAATGTGTTAAGGAATTAATTACAAGAAGACTCCACATTAAGCAAAGAACACGGGGCTAGGGCAGAAAGACTCGGCTCTATTAGAACCAGCTGCACACCATAGGCACATCTCTGTGCCTCTCTGTGCCTCAGTTTCCCTATTTATAGGATGTGGAACAAATTATATTTAAGCTTGCTTCCTTCCCTAAGAACTAAGATCCTAAGTTGAGATAAGATTAGCCTTCTATTGTCAGTGAGTTTCCTCATGTGTTGCATTTTGACCCTATTAAATATAGCTGAAGGGGAGAAAAAATCCTTCCTATTAAAAATCTAATCAATAGAAGATATGCCTTCGTTTTTACCACACAGTCCCTAGAAGAGCTATTTAATACAAATATATGTGGTACTGGTTAGGAGCAGTGATGTATTTACTAGCAATATTTTCGGACAGAATTTATAAGCACCAATCTGGGTCTCCGTCTTCTGAGAAGCGTTTCTGTGTGCTCTGAATAAGGGCTTGATTTACAACTCTCATTCTTTTGCCTTAATAATGAGAAAATTTTCCATCCGAAGCTCGGGCTTTCCTTAGCTCAGTGTCCTAATTTCCCCTTGTCAAAATAGCCTTTTTAGGGAGTCTCTATTGTTCTCAAGTTAATTTTAACACTAAATTAAAAGTTTCATATGGTGGTGATTTTAAAACATTTTACTTCATATGCCAAAAGGTACCTCCCCAAACTACTTCGATCATAATTGTTACCATCGTTACAATAAGGTTTTCATATAGAATCTCTTTTAGGCCCCAAAGTGTTCTCTAAAGACCACACTTTGAAATTTCTGTTCTCTCAAAACATACCCCATACGTTAGATAAGGGGTCGCTGACCTCATCTTACAGACTTAATAGTCAGGAGAGCGCATAACTTCCCATCGGATTCAGAGGAAATAGTGGCATTTAAATCCTAAATCTAATAATCTAATGCTATTCCAGTGGCTTACCCTCTTTTTCGCCTTTTTTTTTTTATTCCAAGTTTTCTAAAATCATTTGGGAGGTAATAGATCATATTTAATTGTTCAGGCTTTTATGCTGCGCTTTCAGAATCGCTTCTGATTTGTGGTCTGGCTCTGGTTCAGTATTACCCGGTGCTAGGTTTGTCTCATCCACCCAGTATCAAAGCTCCCTCACTTTAGCCAGAAATTAAAATAATAGCTTTCAGTTTCTCCTCCCTGTCAAGGAGCTAGTCAATAATGCAATTTGCCATATTTTGTAGATGACTATATGCTCTCCATTAAAGCAGGATATATAATCCTTTTATGTATTTAGCAGAGGCAAAAGACAGAACCTTTTTTTCCTGACAACTTTATTTTCTTTTTAGCATTACAAACTGTCCTGAAGCCTGCAAAGGGCAAACTACCAGATTTTATCCGCTCGTCTGAATAAAGCCTAGGATACCTGAGGTCACTTTGCCTCGAATCTCTTCTCCTAGAAAGTTTTACGCAGCCAACTGTCGAGTGAGGTGGGAAGAGTGAAGATCCCAGCAGTGACCAAAGGGGTCATACAGTTCTAAGATGATTAAAAACAAAACATTCCAAACACAAAAATTACCAGAACAAAAGCCCTTCTGTGGCATAAGTCATAGAGACATGACAAATACCCTCAGAGTAATCTGAGCTCTCACCTAGCATTAGCACTTTCTAAAGCCCACATGCAACTTTGATTTGTGGGTTTGTGCACAAGGTCATGCAGTCTGGTGCCCAGAAGTCTTGAGGGCTGGGTTCTTTTCTCGGCTGCCTCTGAATGACCTTGTGCAAATCACCGCAACATCCCAGTTACAGGAGAGAGAATCCCATAAGCTATCTGCCTTCCACCTTGACTCACACACCTCCTGGGTCCCCAGAGAATGTGATGTGGACTGGACACAGGTGCTGTGAAATTATCTTAGAGGTGACTGTATAGAATGAGACTAACCCTCCAACATCTCCCACCTTTCAGGTTAAGCCCCAAACTTCAGCACTTCCCTTAACATCATCACTTGAAAATTGACGGTAAGAGTTCACGACCACAGATTCACTCTATTTTCCTACTTTAAACCTAATTTCAACATGAAGTCTTCCTTCCTTAAAAATTTATTTTAAATAGTTAACTTCTGTTCACCTGCAATTCAGATGAAAACATGTCTGCTGGGGCGCCTGGGTGGCTCAGTCGTTAAGCATCTATCTTCGGCTCAGGTCATGATCCCAGGGTCCTGGGATCGAGCCCCGCATCGGGCTCCCTGCTTGCCGGGAAGCCTGCTTCTCCCTCTCCCACTCCCCCTGCCTGTGTTCCTCTCTCGCTGTGTCTCTAATAAATAAATAAAATCTTAAAAAAAAAAAAAAAGAAAACATGTCTGCTATGTCTGTACCCTTTTGATTTGTCTTGGAGAGGCAACATGGATTATGAGCTAAGAGCATATATAGCTTGGGTTCAAACCTTATCCCCAACACTTACTAGTCATTGACCTTGGACAAGTTATTTCAAGTCCTTGTGCCTCAGTTTCCTCTTTTGTAAATGGGAAAAAGTGGTACTTCTGAAAAATAAAAATCTAATCATGTCACACTACAAAAACAAAACCCCTTATTTGCTAACTCTTCTCAATCAAAACTACGTAATACTTTATTCACAATAAAACAGTGTTCTCAATTTTCTATTTAACCAGATAGCCCACAAATAGTCATCCTAGTTGAAATAGTAATTATCCTTGATAAATGGCAAGGTTCCAAATCTCCTATCTATCTCCTAAGTTTCAAAGTACATTTTGTTAGGAATAAAAAGTTAATTGATTAACGATGGAATATCAAACACTTTTTTAAATGAATGGATATTTGCACTACGAAGGGTTTTGGTTTGTTTTGTTTCTTGTGAAACAAAGCAAGCCGATTCTAAAATTTATTGGAAAATGCAAAGTGTCAAAAATATCCAAACCACTCTTAAAAGAATAGGATGGCAGGCTTTACTCCAGCCTTATAAAGCTACCATAAATAATACGGAGTAATAGTAACACAAATAGATGAACAGAACCAAAGAGAGGACTCAGCAAAGTAACACAGACATACACAGATGCTTGATGTGTCCCAGAAATACACTACGGAGTGTGGGACAACAGGCTGGCTACACAGAAGGATCCTTCCTCACACGGTCACAGATAATTTCTGGGTAGCATCAATGACACAGTGGAAAGGCAAAACTATAGAGCCCTTTTTAAATAAAACAATTTTAAAAGATAATATTTTCGGGGCGCCTGGGTGGCTCATCGTTAAGCATCTGCCTTCGGCTCAGGTCATGATTCCAGGGTCCTGGGATCGAGTCCCACATTGGGCTCCCTGCTCAGAGGGAAGCCTGCTTCTCCCTCTCCCACTCTCCCTGCTTGTGTTCCTTCTCTTTGTCTGTCAAATAAATAAATAAAATCTTTAAAAAAGATATTTTCATGACTTCAGGATAGGGAGATTCTTTCAAAAAAAGACACTAAACATAAAGATTGGTAAGTTTGCCTTTAAGAATTTCTGTCCAACAAAAACACCATGAAGGAATGAAAAGTAATCCAGAGAGGAAGAGGTTATTTACGACAAATATAGCTAAATAATCAGTATCAAGAATACATCCTACAGATCAGTGAGGAAAAGGACAGCTGACACAAACACAATAGAGAGATGAACAAAAGTTTTGAATGGACACTTTTCAAAAGAAGAAATCCAATGACCAGTAAATGAAGATGCTCAAAGCCATTCCTAATTAGGGAAATGCAAAGTAAAACTAAAATGAAGGCCTACTATCAAAACATCACACTGGCTAATGTTAATGTCTGGTAATATCAAGTGTTAGTGAACTAGAACTCTCATACATGCTGGAGACGGGATGGTGGGAATATTAAATGTTAAAGATATGCATACCTTATAACCCACCAATTGAACTCCTAGGTAAATACCCAACAGAAATGTTTATGTGCACAAAGATGCTCACTGCAGCATTGCTTATAATTGCCGAAACCTGAAAGTATCACAGAAGTGCTTGCCACACTAAAGTGGGATTGATGGAGTGGTACATTACACAGCAATGAGATGAACAAAAAATACCCACGCGACATGAATTTTATAAGCAATGTTGAGTCAAAGACACCAAACGCATATACAGTAGGGTTCCATTTTTATAAGGCAAAAGTAGGCAAAACAAACTAGCCGTATTATTGCATAACTGGTAAGACCATTTTTTTTTAAGGGGGGGGGGGGAGTATTACTCTAAGTCAGGACAGTAGTTAGCTCAGATAGTAGGTAAATAGAGTATCCACAGGGGCCATGGGGAGATTCCAGAGTACTGGCTGTAGCTTTTCTGCATCTGGTTTGTGATTACATTGCTGTTTGCTTTACCTATTAGACTGCACACCTGTTTTGTGTACTTCTCTGGAGGTTATATTTGACAGAATTTAAAAGAATGAGGGAGAAATTGTATACTAAATATTAATGCTGATTAAATCCATAATTATTAAAATAGTGCAGGAAAAACTACAAGGCCCAGAAATAGGCCCACAGCACAAGATATGTGGGAATTTAATATTCTATTAATGACAGCATTACAAATCAGTGGGGAAATGGTGGTTTATAATATTGACCCAATTGGTCAGCTACCTGCAAAAATTTAATCTTACCTTTTGCAGCATCCCCAAATAAACTTGAGATAGATTAAAAATTTCCTTTTGAATTAAGTATAAAAGCGAAATTTTTAAAAAGTCCCAGAAGAAAAGAAGGATGAATATATATCCATCCTGGGGCGAGGGAAGGCATGCTCAGGCATAACCGGAAAGGTAGACTCCTAAAGAAAACTTCTACACTGAAACACCACGAACTGTATTAAAAAGAAAATAACACACTAAAACAAGAACATAGGACAAAAGCTGGACATTTTAATTATTAAGAATTTATAGACCAATAAAAACAGCACATTCTCCAAGAAAATTCAGTGAAGATATGAATAAGCAATGCTCAGAAGAATGAACATAAATGGTCAATAAACATGAAAAAATACTCTTCATTAAGCAATCAAAGAAACATAAATTTTAAAAACCATCCTTTCCTGTAATTATTCAGTTTGCAAACACTTTAAATAGCAATTTTCAGTTCTGGGAGTTTGATATGCTCGGAGGAATATAAAGGGACACAATCTTTGTGGTGAGTGATGTAGATCAAAAATCTCAAAAACTTACCTATACTCCCAACTAGCAATTTCACTTCTATAAAGGTATCTTCTGGAAAGAAATCATTTTTGTACAACGTGATTATCTTTTAAGATGTTAATCACATCGTTGTTTACAGTTTACATTGTAACGATCAAATTGTTAAATAATAAGTTGATTTTAAAAGTTATGGCACACCCATAAAATTGAATATTCTGTAGCTATCTCAAAGGCAAAATATCTATTATGGAAAATGTTTACCATACATAGAGCAGACTGTGAAACAATGTACAGTATGATTGCATTATTGAAAATAGAAACGTATAGAAGAGTATGTAAAGTGCATATACCCAAACCTTAACAGAGGCGCTCTCTGGGTGATCCGACTACAGGGGACTGTGTGTCCATGCATGGGAGCACTTCCACATTACTTGGCTTTCCAGATGTGTATCCTTCTATTCTCTAAAGAATAATTTTATGTTGTGAAATCCATTTACTACTAGTTTTTAAAAGCAGAAATCATAAATTTGTTAGCTCAGTATATTTTTACATTTCTGGGGGGAGGGGTGCTGGGGGGAGGGGATGGGAGGGGGATGGAAAGCAGTAGCTGTACCTGGAAGTCCATGCTAGAGAACCGAGCCCTTCCTAGCACTCCTAAGTCTGTTTGCAGGAAAATGTCATATATGAAAGTCTCTTTTAAAGCAAGTTAAACTTAAACACCCGTAAAACATCACCATTAACATTATGAAGTTGCTCTAATTAATATTTTATTCTTCCTTTCAACACTGTTTAAAATCTCCAATATGTTAAACAAAGAATCTCTGATAACAACCAAGTAATCCTTTAAAATTACATAAACGTGTATACATATGAGACGGAGATTTCTGTAGCCTATATATGCCTCTTGGGGGGGGGGGAAAGGCAATGCATTGACAATTCAACTGTAGCTTAAAAAAAAAAAAAATTGGTTCTCTTACCAAACTGAACCTGTCACCTCTTAGAGCAATGAACTCAAGTCAGGTCAAGCCTAAGAACAGCTCCTCCCTTCATCTACAGTCACCCTAGACTTTTCCTATACCTCATGTCACTCCAGGCAAATGTGATCATCCAGAAAGACCATCCACCCTCTAGCACCAACTAAAAGTACTCCTATTCCTAATCAGAAGATAACATTCTTCCTAAGGGAAGACAGAAGAAGGAAACAAACATTTCAGAATTCTCTATTAAGTGTCTTCCTAGGTATTTCACATCCAATACACCTCATTAACCCCATGCAAACATGCATTAAAATTCTCTAGACTGCTCCCTCCATTACTCGAAAAAGGAAGGAACTTTATCTTCCTAATTCATTTTAGGTGATGCCTGGGGCAACCAAATATTTCACTGAAAGGCATGTAATAAATGTAATAAATGCTATTCCAAAGAGGTAAGAATCAGGAAAAGAGCAGTTACCTGCTTCATTTGGCTTAGAGGAAAAAAATACTGTGCTTACTATGTACTAAAATATCAGACCAACACACAACATACTGCAAAACTTTAATACAATATGGTTAAAACACAATATTCAAATATTAAACTTTTTAAGTACATGAAAGTCATCTTCTGAAAGACAAACTGGGCTATTTTTATAGCTACCTTTGTGTAACTTAAAAAAAATTCCTTCCCTCGACAATGTCTGACACCGATCTTGATACTTGTTTGAAAGTCTGATGTAAGATCATGACAACTCAACAGGCAGAGATTTAGGCAATGATTCCATTGCCCATCTTCAGAATTCATCTCCAGAGGACTGATCGTCATCTTCGTCCCTCACTTCTCGGTACTTCCTTGAAGTCTCCCCTTCTGGATTATAGCTCTGCATCTTTATGTTCAGTCTTTCAGCTAATTTTTGTGCTGCGAGTTTGGCTTGCATCTCCTTTAAAACAAAAATCAAAGCAAAACGTTACACATTCACATTCTTTTCCCTACCATTTTTTCAATAAGAAGTCATTTAAAGAGAAGTGGAAATAAAGGGGCACACCACTCCCCTCAGTGTTCTCTCTAGCAGTGTGCAAGTCTGAGGCTGTGCCTACCACAGATTGGGGGCGGGGGGGGGACATTGCTGGTGAGGGCTACTAGCCTGCCACCGTCATGGTCAGACTTCCATTCACAGACAACAGTGCACTGAAACACGCCACCTCTCCGTGGGAAACAGAGGAACCCGCTGAGCGCTATGACAGTTATAAATGTGGACGGATTTTTAAGTATGGGGACACATGCATGTGTACATACACACTCACAGAGCAGTTTCAACTATCAAATGTCAAAAATCATTAATGCTGTGTTGATTCTCTAAAAAAAATCTTCGTTCCTAGATGAAATCACGGCTTTTAGGCTTGAGAGTTACATTTCAACGTCACAATGAAATCAAGAAACCAATACTTTTAAAAAGCCAACTATCCGTCTCCAAATTAAGTTCCCATGAAAATTACTACATGACAGAAAGTCCAAGTAAATTTTAGACACTGGCAATATGCTCATAGACACCCAAGGACAGGACCACTGACTGATGGCAGGTGGCAATGCCCATTTTTAATCTGGCTCTTGGCTTTTCTCATGCTGTTGCCCCTACAACTTGAACCTCTTTGTGTCCTTCCCCTCCGGCCATGATTATTCTGGGTAGGTAGGAATGAAGTGGGAGCTAATACCACTCTGCCAAGGAACCTGGTTTCGAAGGAGTTGAATTCAACCTAGAGATATCTTACGACAGGCACTTAAGATCATGTAACAATTTAAAAACCAAGGGTGTAGTCGTAACTAGACAATGAGGAAGAAAAATGGCTTTTAAAAAGAAGTGCCTTGAAAATGCCAATCCACGTGCCAAGGCTGAATAACAGCCTAGTTCTGTCTTGACCGGTGTCTAGTACCTGATTAAAATCTAGCTAAGCAATACTAGGAAGTTAAGCTGCTATTTTCGGGGAGGTTCAAACTACTACTATCTAAGTATATTGGATGCTTTCTTTTCTCCCTCCAGTCTTCACACCTATTTTCTCCCATCTCATTATTCTGTACACAAACTGTCCATATACACGCTTAAGGTTCTATGCAGAACTCCCAGATCTTTGAAGTAAGTGCTATACAAAATTAAGTCACTAAAAGCAGGCGATTCTTCTGTCTTCACAAGGGCCTGCATATCGTGCTTTTAAGCTTAGTGTCCAAATGTCTGTTGGTTAACACCACACTACTCCTCCAATGTTACGCTCTTCCCTGTCCAGCAGGAGACAGAAACCTGGAAACATTTCCCTGATTCTTGGTTAGAGTCTACCACTGAGAACGTCTTGCATGGGGCTTACAAGGTGGAAGAGAGAGAAGCAAGGCCTCTACTAGCCTGACAGCATGGGCTTTAAGAGATTGGGGAATTCTGCAGTGGTCTCCCCACATTTCCTGGCAAAAACCGCTCTGCTGTTGCACGCAGCTATGATCATCGCCAGCTGTGTCCTGCGGATCCAGCAACTTCAAGACTCTCAGAAAACTAGAGGCTCACATCTGAGAGCGAATGGCATGAGCTGACCATTTCTCGAGCACCCTTCTATTAAGTCCCATCCTCTTTGAACTTCCTGGAGTAAATTCTGACTTAGCAGCATCTCACAGAGACAAGAAACATTTAAAACTCTAAATACCTCATAACTCTGTTTCTGCTGTTTCTGAAGTGCCAAAGATTCTTCTATGGAGAGCAGCTGTGTGGGCATATGGTGAAGTGGCAGAAGCCGGGCTGCTGTAATGTCATCAAGATGCTTCTTATCCCTGAGCCGCCTTTCTTCCGAGGAGACGGGAGACCCTCCTCTCTGCCAATGACCAGATGAATCATTTTGCTGTGAAGGTAATCTGAAGGAGGGAAAAATCTGTTGTATCATCAGACTGTTTCTTTTTATAGACACATTTACAACATTCCCACACAGAAGCGGCCTTTAACCTTAGCAGTTAATTCTTCTACAAAGATAATAGTAAGGAGTTTACCAATATTTATATTCATAGATAAAAATCTTTCCTGTTTTTAAACATTTTTACTTCAGAAATGGGGAGTATCTAAACCGGCACCTTTGTGGAGAGTAATAGGACAATCCACTGTTTTAACAAATAGGTAGACTGATAGGCTCTTTGCATTATCCTTCGTTCTTCCAACCTTACACTTGAACTGAAGCCATCTTTCCATCTTTTCATTCAAAGAACATGCACGAAGGGGCCTGCTGTCCAGTAAAGGGAAATAAACTTGTGAACAGCTTCCGTGCAACATAATACCACCCGTGTAACACTACCTAGAGGTGGTATACATACTATACATACTGGTACGCTGGAACATAAAGAAGGAAACCACTGGTTCTAATGGGAGACAGGGAGGTTGTCAGAAAAGCTTTAAGAGTGCATTTTGAGGAGTCTTAGAATAATAAATGCTCACCATGTAAATGAGGGGAGGAGAGCATCCCAGCTGGGAGTGAGGGGCAACATGGTACAGCACAAAGGAAGTTCAGGGGGTGGGGTGTAGAGGAAAGGCCGCGAGATAAGGCTGGCAAGTAGACCGGGCCCAGTCCTCAGCGAAGAATTCTATGTAATGGGTTCAAATTTGCATCGTACGAATTTCACTCTAGCAGCAGTGGAGAAGATGGGCTAGAGGAGTTAAGACTAGAGTCCAGAACAGGCCAGTTATAGCCCAAGAGAAGGATGAGAGCCTTCACTCTGACAGGAGGATGAAAACAAGAATTAGAGATGAAAGTCAACAAAATGTATTATGTCGGTCTTTATAGCCAGCAGATATGGAGATGAAGCACAAGACACCTTGGAGAAAAAAAAGTGGTGGCACTATGAATTTAGGGAATATGGGAGGAAGTCAGCATGGGAAGAAATAAAGAGTTCTATGCTGTACATGATAAATCTGAGGTGCCACAGAACACCCACACGGCCAGGTTTCATAGGTAACTGGCCATGCAAATCCGAAGCTCTGGAAAGACCTAAGCTAGAGGGAGGTGAGGGGCGGCCACTAGCACCCAGGTACACGGAGCCACAAGGGCATGGAGGAGGCTAAAGGAAGAGCAGAAAAGGAGTCAAAGGCTGCTCACGCACAGAATCCCTCAGGCCACACTCGTCCAGGCCCAGCCTTTCCCGATCTGCTCTAATTGCACAGGAGGATCTGGCTCTCCCCACTGCCACTTCCAGCTAAATGACCACAGTAAAGAACCAGGATCAGTGTATCCTCTGATCGACTAGATGACGCTTCTGGTTTTGTCTTCCTGGAGGCGAGGAAATACACCTCACTGCACACAAGATGGGGAGATTACTAACTTTGAACATCAAGAGTACAAAGATTACTTTTTATTCCTACCTAAAAATTAGTGTAATATAATCCTGGTTTTTCTATAGAGAAGAAATAAAATATTTTCAATTTAAAAAAAAATGGCAGGGTTAAACCTTAAAGTTTTAAACTTTATAATAATTCTCTGAAAGTTTTAGGCATTTCTAACTAGAGGTTCTCGGCTTTTCAAAGAAAGGCAGTAGTGACTCAACTTTGTATATGATGTCACCTCCTGGTAAATACAGACAGGTAGGCTAAATACGCTGGCTACTCCCTGCTGTGAACATTACATCTGTGTACAAGTAAAGGAAATTCTTTTCTCTTCAAAGAGCTTTTCTTTTTTTGGAGATCTCAGAAACAAAACTATGACAAGGAACTCAGAAGCAAGGTTAGTTTACCCCTCCTGCCTCAATCTGTTTTTCAGTTTAACCCCTTCTCAGCTCCCTTCCCCCTCAAGTTGTTATGATACAGTTCAAGGTTCTTCCAAGTGTGTAGGCCTTGGGTTTTCATCTAGATCCTGAACTCTTTGAGGAGCAGGATCTTTACTTCTGTGTCACCCCAGCACCAGCTGCTTACCTATAGTGAGCACACAAATATTCTTCGCTGACAAGTCCATCAGCTTCTAAAGCTGCTTTTCCTTTAGCTTATAGTCTAATCAAAGGGGGAACTGCATACCAAAAAATTGTTGTGGAAAATAGTCATAATAAATTCTCTAACTCTGGGTTTAATGTCAAATGTTGGCTAAGCACCCTGAAATTTAATACTCCACCTATTTGAAACCTGTTCAATTATTTGGCTAAAAACTAAAGTACTTGTCAACATGAATCCTCCATTCCAGCCAGGCTGTTTCCACAATATGCTCTTTGCTAACTACAATTGGTCCCACACAACGTCCACTGATCTGAAAGCATCCTTCCAATTTTTTTAGTTTAACAGGTGGTATGTTCCTGTGACAGGCCTGTTTCTGATAATACTTACACATTTGTTTTAAATTTATGTGGTGGGGGCACCGGGTTTTTGGCTCGAATTGCTAGCACTTCCATGAAATGAGGCTTCTTCTGGGCCCCACTACCAAGCCTTGCCACGTTCTCAGCACTCCAGTCCTCTTCTGAGTGCTCTTCACCTGAGTCCACAATTGTGATCCCTTGTAACCTATCAATAAACAGGTTGTCAGAGCCGCTCGAATTATCTTCTGCTTGCCTTGAAACCTGATGCTGAGGGAGACGCTCACTAGCTTCGGAGGAGGAAGGCGCACTGGCCCTGCTGCTGGAAGCTGGGCATATGCTTACGGTGTACTCAACGTCTGGAGCCTCTTCATCGCCTTCCGGAGGAGGCTGTACAAGTCCCCGCTGTTGTGAGGTGGTTTTAGATGACTTGATGCTACTTACAGAGGAAGAGCCACAAACTAGTGATGAAGTATCAAGTATCTGGTCAGAATTCTGGGCCTTTCCTGTGTCCACATCAACAACTGCAACTGCTCTTTGCCTTAGCTTACAGTCTAAACTAACAGGATGAAACAGTCCTCTTTTTCCTCTAACTTCTTCACATTCTGCAATGGCAGCTTTCAGTTTGGCAATAGAGTCTGAGATCTTTTTACCTTTGTCGGGCAATTTGCAAATGAATTTTCTGTTAAATGGGGGAAAAAAAACATGTATCTGTTAGAGCCATGTTTTTAAGACTTGAGATATAAAGACAAAGCATTATCCTCAAAGGGAGAAATATCTCTAAGTCAAAAATCTGATTTCCAACTGCCTCAAAACAGGAATGAAGTAAGTCATTATCTAAATACCCTAAAAAAACAAGGGGATGCAGGAATAAGGAATACCCCTCATTTGTCTAATTAGAATTTCAGCAAAAGTATCTTAAGCATATAATACTCTATAATATACTCCAAAACTTGCAGTTTTTATTTTTTAATTTTATTTATTTATTTGACAGAGAGATAGCGAGAGCAGGAACACAAGCAGGTGGGAGAGTGAGAAGCAGGCTTCCTGCCGAGCAGGACCCTGGGATCATGACCCGAGCCAAAGGCAGACACCCAACGACTGAGCCACCCAGGCGCCCCCAAATTTGCAGTTTTTAAAGTGGGATGTCCAAGACCTTCCTGGGGAGGGGAAGTAGATGGGTCTGCAAGGTCAAAATTATTTTCATAATAATACTAAGCCATTATTTGCCATTTCCACGCTCATTTTCTTATATGGGTACAGCAGAGTCTTCCAGAGGCCACATGATATATCATTGCTCTGATGGCTAATCATGTGTATTCTTGTTTTAAAGATCTCTCACCTGTAATTCCTTTTCTTTTTTTTAAGATTTATTTATTTTGAGAGAGAGAGAGAGAGATGGAGAGCATAAGTAGGAGAGGCAGAGGGAGAGAGATTCCCAAGCAGACTCCCTGCTGAGCGTGGAGCCCAACTTGGGGGCTCCACCTCATGACCCTGAGACCATGACCTTAGTGGAAACCAAGAGTGGGGAACTCTTAATCTACTGTGCCACCCAGGTGCCCCTCTCACCTGTAATTCCTAACACACCAATAAACATCAGTAGATTTAACATACATAAAACAAGAGCTCCTTGGGATGCTCAGAAGTCTTAACAGTATAAAGGGGTCCTTAGACCAAAAAGTTAATTTGCTGCTATAGATTAAAAACCCATTATCACAAAGTCAAAGTACTTGTCCCTACTAGAAAGCTCCCAAATGGTCATTTGTCCCTTTTGCTGAATGACTTAAGTTCCTTTCGGATTCTCTGTTCTTTATCCATATAAGAAATGGAGCGAAGATTACACCTCTGGCTCTCTATTCTTTCTTTCGCACTTACATTCCTTCCCACAGTTTCAACATTAACATCCCTCTCCAGTTGAGATTCCTGTATGTTCTCAGCCTTCTCTCTCCGGATCCTCATGACCTTGTCCAACTTTTAAGTACATATAATTAACTCTTCCCTCAACTTAGCACCCCCTCCCTAAGTAAAATCAACCTCAGAGCTATTCCCCAATTTTTCTGTCATTAGTGGTTCTCTATGCAAGCTGGAAACTTCAGCCATCTCCTTCAAATACATATCCAAATTATTCCATGCCTGATGTAGTTTTCCCAGTCCCACAACTACCCTTCTACAACCCCCCTGCTGGGAACTTCTCTGAAAATGTCCTCCAGCTGTCTTCTCGCATTCCTTCCACGCTGCTAAATTAAGCTTCTTTCACTTTCATTATATTGTTCCCCTGATAAAGTCTTTAAGTCTGCCAGCCGAATGAGGCAAACTTTTTGTCTAATATAGCACTCTATGTCCCATTCTTTCCCTTTCCTACAGGTTCCGTAAAAACAGGATCTAGACATGAAATCGACAAAGATGTTTTGGGCACGACATGGGCGGCAAGGGGGGCGGGGGTACACAGGGATTTAGGATACAGACCCTCCCTTTAGGGAACCGTCTCAGTAGCCGGGTAATTAAAGCCAACAAGGAGCTAAGGGAACAGCTGCAACTCTTAAGCAGCCTTTCAGCACGCTAACCATCCCCACCCGCGCGCGGTACGTGCCAAACCAGGACGCGGTCCGCTCTGCGGCTGGAGGCCGTCCACTCGCCGGCGGGACTGGAACGGATCTGACTGAGGCAAGGTCACCTTCCAGGGAAGGGAACCCGATGTGGGGGAGGGGAAGGAACTCGTCCCAGGGAGACCGAACCGAAGAAGCCTGGCGGTGACTCGGCGGGACCCAAGCTTACTCGTTGCGCAAAAGTCTCTCCTGGCGCTTCAACATCTCCCGCAGCTCCGCCAAACTCCGCCGCCCCAAGTCCTCGGGAACTTGGGGCTCGAAGCCGCGGGCCAGCGAGGACATTCTGCGGGGGCTGAGGCCGGCGAGGCGGCGGGCACTCGGCTTCCTCGGCAGCCCCCGCTGCCAGCGCCGGATCCGCTGCCGGCGTGGACTCCGAGGCACGAGCGGGAGTCGCCATTTTCCCGGAAGAACAGGTCTTCTTCGAGCCGAATCGAGCTTTATTCAAACACCGGAAACAGACACAGGCAAGGAGAAGGGAGCGCCGGGAGGAGAGGGAAGGGGCGGGACTTACGGGCCGGGGCGTCCGGCCGCGACTGGGCGCGCGTTGGCTGCCGAGTGTCTTCTGTCGGCTCGTCAGCTCTTCAGGTTTATTCAGAAAGTGCTTGCTAGCGCCACTGTGACCCCGACAGATATCCGCGACTCCTGCCGTTATGGAGTTTACCGAGGGGTGGAGGGAGGCAGACATTAATCAGGTAATGATGAAACAGTGTGATAGTAAGCTCGGTATGGGCACCAGGGCAAGTGCCTCTGAGAAGTGAACTGTAAGTCGAAGCTGAGTGATGAGTTGGTGAGCCATTGGTGAAGTGGGGGGAATGTGCCGGACGGGGCTCGAGAGGCCTTGGTCTGTGGTGCTGCCTCGTAGCCCGAGGCTTAATGACGTCCTCAGAGTTGGAGGGATCCTTAGGGACTGTCAGCATTTCGTAATGGGACTCTGTGGCATTGGGAGCAGGACTTTTCTTCATTTGTGGCACTGCCTCAGGCATTGCAAGACCTTTGGTGTCTGGCTTGCGCCCGCTAGTTCTCTGGCGTTCCCAACTCGGAACAATCCAGACGCCTTTACCTCCCCCTCCGCCCCCCACCCTCGGCCTGCCAGTCCTCACACCTTTCCAAAGGCCCGCAAGAGATGATGGTGGGAGGTGCTGGACAAGCCAGCTGAGAACCTCTCCTTCCTCATTTCCTATTTTGCCTGTAGAAAAACAGAGGCACAAAATCAATGTAAGTATTCCCAGGGCACAAAACTTAGTGATAGCGCCAGATTTCACTCAAATGCCCAGCTACTCTACCACACCAATTTGAAAATCTCATTCTTCGCTTTATGCCTATTTCCAAATGTTTAAAATTGTTGAAAAGGTTTTTTTTCAGGCTGTTAAGAATAGTACAGCAGTGTCTTAAGCATCCCGAACAGCTCTTACCTTCTCTTTACAGTTCAGCTGCCAGAGCCGTGTCCCAAAGGAAAGAATAGGAAGCATACAAGAGTCACAACAGATACCAGTTGGGAGGTTTGGACACCCCCATAACCGACACCACCTCCCTATTCTTTGATACGGAAAATTTTAGTTTTCTCAATCCTATGTAGAATGCTATAAGAAACAGCAGTTCCCTCCCAGTCAGACAGAAGCTCTAGATAAAATCTGAAACTACTCCAGGTGAAGCCATTTCTGTATCCTCCCAATCTAGTCCATTCTGATCAGATTAACTGAAGTATCAAAATTCTCAGCGTAAGCCCTGCTTTCAAAGACATCAAGAACCGGCTCCAGCCTGCTAAATAAGAGCTATTTTAGTAAGGCCTTTGAGTCAGGTAGTTGTCCCTAGCAAGCTCCCCCAAAGCCTCCCTCATCCTGTTCCTGGGCGACAGCTGGAGGCCTTTATTCACCCCACAGTAGTGAACCCCTTCTTTTGGTCCTGGGCCACAGGTGTCCTCGAGGCAAGGATGCCTTTCTCTCAGGACTCAGAATTTTGCCCCCCTACTGTTTCCCTTTTGTGGAAAGCTGTCCTTTCTCCCTTTTCCCTTCTCCCTTAGCCCATTATAAATCTAAATTCAAGCCTCATCTTCTCCCTGAGCCTTCCTAGATTATTCCAACCCCAGTTGCTCTTTCTTTTGAGCATAACTATACCTTTTAGAGCTCAAACCTCAGTATATGAAGCATATTATGCTTCTCCAATTGTGTCATGCATGGTGATTTCTTTTTCCTTTCTAACAAAGTTGGGAAGTCAGGGAATTCTGTCAGGGAGTTATGTTTGTACTTTTCTCTCCAAATGCATACGGCAGGTATTAGTTGATGGAATCTCCCTCTCTTAATTTTTCTCACAGCCTCTCTCTCATGTTCCTCTTCGTCTTAATGAAATGTCCCTTTTGTATATGTAAATCCTAAGGGTTTTATGTAAGTATCAACCATAGTGATTGTGAAGATATTTTCAGTGGTGTGGGATAGAATCTTTTATACAACATAGCTTAGGACTTCAAGGTGCCCTCATACAAATCTGAATTTTTAACAACACCCATACACAAACTGACTAGCTTTGTCACTAACCAAGAGGTTTGGCAAGTGAGGAAACATCACCTTGAAACCTAAAACCAGGCTATTTGTACTTCAGAATGAAAGGAGGCAAAGTATTCTTTTATAATCCATCAAACAAACAAAGGAACGATAAGTTTTAGCACACAGATTTTAACAGCAGTGTCTGGGGGGAAATGATGTAAAATGGAGAACTTTAACAGAAACAGTGAATGCCATAGGTTTTAACTCTCTCCAGCCAGAACCAGGCAAATACTTGAGAAGAAATGTAGTCCACAAACCACAGGCAGCTAATCTCTGCTGAAGAATTCCAAATGCATATCAAGAGCCCATCTGTTAAAAATTGAATCTAGACAAGCATTTTTAGTTTTTGTTTTGGGGTTTCAGTGCCCTTTAAAAAAGTGTAAATCACTTTTCCAATGATACTTGGACTAATCTCAAGAGTATTAATTATCCTCAGAGTAAGCTAATGAATTTGACTGTTAGCAAGAAAAATTCAAAATGAAGAATTAAAGGAGAGGACAATTTCATGTGAAGTGCTGCCAGGATGACTTAGCCATCCCATTGCCACCAAGCTGTTAAAGGTGTCGTTTGAATGCAATTGAAAAGGACAAGAACAGGGGGCACCTGGGTGGCTCAGTCGGTTAAACACCGGACTTTTTGATTTCAGCTCAGGTCATGACCTCAGGGTCCTGTGCTCAAGCCCCGCATGGGGCTCTGTGCTGGGGCGGTGGGGGGGAGGGGAGGAGTGTGGAGCCTGCTTAAGATTCTCTCTCCCTCTCCCTCTGGTCCTTCCCCCACCCTACCCCCATTCGCATGCACGTGTGCTCTCTCAAAAAAGGACAAAACCAAAAAAACCTGGGAAAGATTTCCATTTGTCCTTAGAGTTGAAGATAAAAATTAGAAATCAGTTGTAAAATTGGTAGCATTGATCCTCAGAATCTCCAGGCTGCTCGTCTCTGTTTTCTCCCACTGGTTGTCAGGCCACAAAACTGGCCGTGGTATGCCTGACGTCCATGGCAGCAAATGGCAGCAAAACTATTTCCCATCCCACATGTTCTTCTTACTATGTGAATTTAACTCTCCTCCTCTCAAGAAACGGATACTAGACTATGACTAGAGCAAAAGTGATTTTTCCAGTCTTCGTAGTAAAAGGTGATGCAGCTTCTGCCTGATTTTCTTGGGGTACTTACTGTGGGAACCCAGCCAGCAAGCCAGCTATGCAGAAACCTGAGTTTGTGTGGGTGTTTGGTGTTTTGTCAGCCTAAACTGGGGACTCAGCCAAAAGTTCGCATTAACCTCTTGATATGTGAGTGAACAAACCTTTGAATGATTCCAGCCCCCGACTGGAACAGCCTTCTAGGCTCCCAAACTGAGGCCTTGACCTGCGGAATTCGGGGGCATAATAAAATGGTTGTTGTTTTATACCTTTAAGGTTAGGGTGGTTTGTTGAATAGCAGCAGTAACAGGAGCATTAATCAAGATTAATTCCTCCAGCTGTGATCTGCATCCCATCTCTTTTGCCTCCTTGGAGAGCTCATTCATTTGTTCATTCAACAAATAATTATTTATCGTGTGTATGACTCTATTCAAGACTTTGGAGATATAATGGTGAGTGAGACAGAGAAGCCTCCTGCCACGCTGAAACTTACATTCTATTAGATGGTACTACGTGTCACGTAGAGAATTAATATAGCTGGAGTGTTAAGGAGTGATTGGGAGGCTACCTTGATTGAGGTGATTGAGGGGTGGCTGAGGTTGGTTTTTCTGAGAAGGCAATTATAAAGCTTATAAAGCTGAGACCTGAATGATAAGAATTAGCCATGGAAAGTCTGACAGGAAAGCATCCCAAGTAGAGGGAAGAACAAATGCTAAGGTACTAAAAGGAGAGGGAGCTCAGCATATCCAAATAACAGACAAACAAAAGGCCAGGGCCAGATCTTGCAGGGCTTAGACCAGGATACGGAGTTTGAATTTTGCTCCGAGAGAAATGGGAAGCCATCTGTTGTAGGCAGCCTGTAGGATGGGCTCCCAATGGTCCTGCCCTATTGTAATCCCTTCCCATTAAATGTGGAATGGACTTATTGACTTCTAACAAATAGTAAAAATTTACATGGTAAAAAGTAATGCAAATGGTGAAAGTGACAGGGTGTCACTTCTGAGGTTAAGTAGTAAAAAATTTGAACACATTTCACCGAAGGTGTACAAATTAAAAATAAGAACGTGAAAGGTGAGCAGTGTTATTAGCCATTAAGAAAATCCAAATTAGAAACACAGTGAGAGAGCCTGGGTGGCTCAGTAGGTTAAGTGTCTGCCTTCTGCTCAGGTCATGATCCTGGGGTTCTAGGATCAAGCCCTCCCAAATCGGGCTCCCTGCTTAGCGGGGAGCATGCTTCTCCCTCTCTCTCTGCTGCTCCCCCGCACTTGTGCTCTCTCCCTCTTTCTCTCAAAATTTTAAAGACAAAAATACAATGAGATAACTATAACACAATTACCAGAATGTCTGAAATGAGAAAGACTGACCATACCAAGTGTTGGAAAGGATGTGGGACAACTGGAACTTACTCTGCTAATGGGAACGTAAAATAATACAACCGCTTTGGAAAACAACTGGGTAGGCCCTGAAAACCTGCCACATAACCCAGCCATTCCTCTGCTAGGTATTTACCCAAGAGAAACAAAAGCCTGTGTCTATCTGAAGACCTATACATAAATGTTGATAGCAGCTTTATTTGTAATAGTCCGAAAACTGGAAACAACCCGTCCATCAGTAGGTGAATAAACAAATTCTAGTATGTCCATACAATTGAATACTGTCCTACATGCAACAACTTCAGTGAATCTGTTATACTGAGTGAAGCCAGGAAGAGTCCACACTGTAGAATTCCATTTACATAAAAGTCTGAAAGATGCAAACTAATCTTTAGTGACTGGAAGTAGATCAGTGATTGCCTAATGATGTGGGGTGACAGGCAGAGGCTACAGGGAAGGATTATGAAGGGGCAGGAGAAAGCTTTTGGGGGTGATGGCTGTGTTCATTATCTTGATTGTAGCAATGGTTATGTGAGTGTGTTCATTTGATAAGTCACACCTTATCCCAAGGTAAACTTAAAATGTCTGGTACATGGCAGCTCTGTTATACCCCCAATGAAGCTGTTAAAAGTACTCCTCTGTCT